ATCCCCCATCCATCCACCCATCCACTCACTGATCCACTCGTCTACCGTCTACCCATCTACCATCCTTCCTATCTGCCCACACCCATCTTTCCTCCTTTCCACCTCCCACCTGCCTTTTCTTCCTTCTTTCACACTCACTCCTTTCTCCTCCCATCTCTCTTCCACAGATATTTATGAACCTCTTCCAAAGTGGCAGAACTCCCCTGAGTACGGGATGCATCGCCGGTCTCTATCCAGGTGGAGCTGCCTCCTGAGCTCCGCATCACTTGAACCCATCCTTTCCCGTGAACCTGGGCTGCATCCAGTATGCCAGAGACTTAACAGTCACGTAGATCGGTATCTTTCTGCCATTTTCTGACTGTGTTCAATTCTACCACTTCTTAAAGACAGTAGAATCTTTTCTCTCTCCACCCCTGGTCTGGCTCTCATTTGGCCGCTGTCACCTTTAATGATAACTCACTATGTAGACCAGGCTGGCCTAAAACTCACAGAGATCTGTCTGTCTCTGTTGGACAGTCACCATACCTGGCTATACTTAACATGGTTTTTTTTTCTCGAAATGTTTGTTTGTTTGTTTAGTTTTATACATGTGTGAGTGTTTTGCCTGAATGTCAGCCTGTGTGTCGTGTGCCCTCAGGAGAGGGCATCAGATCCCCTGGAACTGGAGTTACAGATGGCTGTGAGCTGCCATATGGGTATTGGGAATCCCGGGGCTCTTAGCTGCTGAGACAACTCTCCAGCCCCTCTACTTAGAAACACTAAGTTCTATTTCTTGTTTCTTCTGTGTGAAGGTTTGTAAGGAGCAACCAGAGGCTGCCTTTTGGGAGCTGGTCCTCTCCTTCCACCATGAATCCTGCAGACTGAACCCAGCTCACGAAGTTTCCTGCTGGGCCGTCTAGCCAGCCCTAATTATTCACAAATTCCCTCCTCACCAGCGTGTCCTATTTCAGGAGGATTCATGGTGACATCCCAGACACATGCAACCGTAGGAGAGAAAAGGGCCGGGTTACCTTTGTCGGAACCCGACATTTCGATGCTGAGGTCCCTAAGCAGCTGCTCCGTTTCCTCCAGCCAGGACAGGGCCACCCGCAGGATGTCCAGGACAGCCTTCTGAAGCCCTGCCACGGGTGGGCTGAGCTGCAGGTGCTGAAGGAGCCCCACCTCCTTCTTCAAGTCGCTGCTGCTGCACGATTCCCTCAGGCAAGCCTGAGAACAGACAGCTCATGAGCAGACAGACCCAGCATCTATAAATGGCCCTGGTGTGACTGGCCTGTGAGGAAGCAGTCACGAAGCCACCACTGCCCTGGGGTGTCCCAGCTTCATTCAGTTTCTTTATTTTCTCCCATTTTAATTTGGCCTCAGTGTGTGTGTGCGTGTGTGTGTGTGTGCGTGTGTGTGTGTGTGTGTGTGTGCGTGTGCGTGTGTGTGTGTGTGTGTGTGTGTGTGCGCGAGCGCGTGTGTGTTCTCCTGTCTCTCTCACCTTATTGCCCAGAGACGGTGTCTCTCAGCGAACCACCAGTTCACCATTTCAGCTAGCCTGACTAGTCAGTGGGCTCTTGGGATCGCCTGTCTTCACCTCCCAATGCTGGGTTACAGGCACCTACAGCCAGGCCTGGCTACTTTACACGGGTGCTGAGGATTTGAACTCGGGTCTTCATGCTTGCACAGTGAGCACTCTATCCACCAAGCCATGTCCCCAGCCCCTCTTTTGATGGGCACAGGGTCTCCTTTTTAGGCTGTGGAATGCCCAACTGCTGCGTCAATCTGTCTGATGTGAGAACCGAATCTGGCTACTTCAAGCCATCAGAATTCCTGATCAACACACGCGCTGGACAGAGAGTGTGGTTTCCTGACTTGTTGGAAAGACCGCTGACGAGCCAACATTTGCACAAAACTCCCCAAATAGCAGCTTCTGATTGCAAGACAAGCAGAGGCAGCTGCGTGCTCTAACTGCTCAGAGTGGGGGCACTGGGGGCACCCTGGACCTTCGCCCCGCCTCTTCTAGAGGGGAAGGCAAGGGGCTGAAAATAGATTGCACTGCTGGGCCAGAAAATGAGGATTTTGAGCAGAAACATCTGTTTCTTTTTCTGTCTCCGTCTCGTGTATCTGTGCATGTGCATGTGTGTGTGTTCATGCACGTGTGTGCACATGTGGGTGAAGAGGTATGAGTCTCAGGTGTGGCTCCTCAGGGGCCATTCGCTTTGTTTTTTGAGCTAGGGGCTCTCACTGGGTAGGGTAGCTGGCTGGCCAGTGAGCCCCATGGAGGCACCTGTCTCCACCGTGCTGGGATTAGCAGACACGCATATCCATGCTCGGCTTTTTTATCTGGGTCTAGGGATTGCATAAGCCACCATTTCACCAACCGAGTCATTTCCCCAGCTGTGGTTTCTTTCTCTCTTTCTCTTCCTTCTTTTCTTCCTTCCTTCCTTCCTTCCTTCCTCCCCCCCTCTTTCTTTTTTTTTTTAACGTCCAGAACTGGGGACTTCCCAGAGTTGGTCCACCATCTCCTCCTGTCTCTGAGGAGTTAATCAGTTTCAAGACAAAGATGCCAAAATTTGAGGAAGTTCAAATCCCTTCATAAGGGGCATGACACTTGTATACAATCTACATACATCCTTCTGTATACTTTAAATGGCCTCTAGGCAACTTCTAATAACTAGCACAATGTACATGCTAGGAGAAAAATGACCTGAAAAATGTCCGAGTGGAGATGGGCTTCGGTTACAGTACTTGCCTGCTGTGTATGAGGTCAAAGCTTTCGTTCCTTGCACGACAAAAGCAGACAGCCCACCCCAAACAAAATCAAAACTTCCCTGGCACACGACTGGCTTTTGGGGTGTATGTATGCAGGCCAGAGGTGAATGTTGGGGTCTTCCTCGACCACTCTCTACCTTGCTTTAAGGACATTTTTGGGGTGTTTGAGATAAGGTCTCATGAAACCCAGCCTGGCCTCAACCTTGTTGTGTAAAATGACCTTGATCCTAGAGCCTTCACCTCCCAAACACGGGCATTAGAGACCTGCCTCAGCAAGCCCAGTTTTCTGTGGTGATGTGGATCAAACCCAGGACTTCATGCACGCCAGGGCTTAACTACACCCCACCCCCACCCCATTTATTCTTTGGCAGTATTTCTCACTGAACCTAGAGCTAGCCTCTTTGGCTAAATCGGGTGTCAAACAAGCCTCAGCATCTTTCTGCATCTGCTTCCCCAAGCATTAGGGTTACAGGTGTGTGCTGCCCAGCTTTTTAACGTGGGTGCTAAGGATTCGAACTCAGGTCCTCATGCTTGTACAGCCAGCATGTTCCTGACTGAGCTATATTTTGAGTTGAATTGAGAAAATGAATCTGTCCATGTTCAATGTGGACAACACTCTTTTCCTTTGCTATTTTTGGTCCGCAGATGTGAGATGCTGGGCACAGCAGGCTGACACTACCTGAAAAGGGTCGGCCATCTATTCCTGGCCGTATCGACTTTCCCTGGGGGGCATTTTTGAGTGGAAGGTTGATTTATGAAAGGAGAATGTTTCTCTGCAACCTGCTCCAGAAATCAGGACCATTTCTAGGCAAGCAGCAGAGAAGGGAGAGAAGGGGGTGGCGAGCCTGTGGGGTCAGAGGCTACCTGGCAGCTGCTCAGCCGTGCCCTCAGCTTCTCCATGTTCTCCGTGGTCTCCTCCCGCTTGGAGTTGCTCAGATGAGTCTCCTTCTGCAGGGTCCATCTCCTCTGCTGGAAGCTGAGGTTGTCCTCGGTGACCTGCACGATCCTCTCTATCAGCTGCGGGGGGTTGGGGGGGCAGAGAGGAAGATGTCTCAGGGCAGCGAGTCCCGTGAGGCAATGGCTGCAGAACGGCTACACGGATTCTGTCTCAGTGGGCCAGGAGGAAGGCCCTCAGACATTGGCTCTGAAGAACACATTGCCCAGAAACCGCAGGTCTGTACTCTCCCTCTGAATCTGTTCCAGATCCTTCCACGCTTATAGCAGTGACTCTTGACACTAGCCAGGTGTCCTGTGTGCCTTTACAGGCTGGGTTCTCCTCTAACTGCCCACTTGTGTTTTTCCTGTGTTTGATTGATGTGTGTGTGCGCGTGCACATATGTGTGAGAGTATGCATTGTGTATGTATTTGTGTGTGTGTGCACATGAGAATATGCATTGTGTATATATTTGTGTGTGTGTGCGCACATGCGTGAGAATATGCATTGTGTGTGTGTGTGCACATATGTGAGAGTATGCATTGTGTATGTATTTGTGTGTGTGTACATGCACATGTGTGAGAGTATGCATTGTGTGTATGTGTGTGTGTGCATGCGTGCATGTGTAGGCCAGAGGACACTTTGGTTACTGTTACCATTCCTCATGTGCCATCCACCTTGTTTTATTGAGACAGGGTATCTCATTAGCCTAGAACTTTCCAAGTATGCTAAGTCTGGCTGGTGAGAGAACCCGAGCCCCTGGGATCCGCTTGCTACTCCCCAGCATTGGGGTTACATGCATGCATATCACACCACACAGACCTTGGCGCTTTATGTGTTTTAGGGATTGAACTCAGGTCCTCGTGCTTGCGAGTCAAGCCCTTTCCCAACTGAGCCATCTCTCTAAGCTCCGCTTATGGCTTCTTATCTGCCCTTGGCCACAAAGGGCTGAAAGATAACAAGGCCAGCACCACAGAGGCCTGTACATACTGCTGTGGCCATCTTCCCCTTTGGAAGGGATCAGCCAAGGTATGTGGCCCGAAGCCAGGCCACCCCTCCGCTCACAGGGCATCAGTATGTCTGGTGACCAGACGCGAGTCTGCCTGGCCTGGACTTGATTTCCACGAGTTAACATTTCGAGGGAGTTTTAACCAGTTTTCACTTCAAAAGCCAGGAAATCCCCTAAAATCAAAACAAATCTCTGTGGTGTAGCAACAGTGTGAAGAAATATGTGTCACTAACAAAAACAGAAGCATATGCTCTCAGGGTCTGGCATCCAGATCCCCCGAGACAGAAGCGAAGGAGTCACGTGGCCGGAGAGCCACACTAACCTGCTGGTCGGTGACGGGCTTGTCACGGAACGGCTTTGTCTTTCCAAAAGTGGCTTTGATGACCTGGCTTCTGAAGTGCTCCAGCTGTGGCACAAAGAGGGTGACAGGTCAGGGGGAGGGGCTGTGGGGACAGAGGCGAGGCTGCGATGGCGTCTCCACCTCTGGGTCCAGGCCACACCACTGAACACCATTCAGGGCTCTGAAGCACTGGGCTGCGGAGCCATAGACAGAACAGAGCTGGCTGCAAGTATTCCTGACCCAGGCACCCGGTCCCTGTGCATACGTCCGCGCCCTCCAAAGAGCCCCTTGCTCTTATCCAGCGGGAAGCCTGGACCCAGGAGTGCTTTCTTATAATTGCTAGGCTATGAAATAACCACAGAGGCTGCAGTCCAAATACGTCTGTAACCAGCATTGGCGATGGGAGAGGAGAAAGCAACTTCTGCCTCCCGGGGCGTTGGACGTCAACCGTCCCAAAGCCTCTGTCCGTTGTAATTCATTTTTATGCCCCCTGAGTCAGCACCGTGCAGGCAGGGAGTGGGCCCTCAGTGGGTGTTTGCTGGGCGCCGGGACATGGAAACATACAGGTCAGGCCTATTAGATGGTACCCAGTGCCTCCCGTGGGCTGGAGTTTTCAGCTTCAGGTGAAGGGGATCAGATCACCCTGTGTGTCAAGTCAGAGCCTGGAGAACCCCAATTCTAATGTTCCCCAGACTCTGTCAGGAGGCAGAGGCTAAGAAGCTAAGAATTTACTCCCACAGCAGCCCATGACCTACAGCTGTGTGGACAGATGTGGGCATTAATGACTAACATCCATCCATCCCTAGGAGGGCCACCAGATGAAGCCAGAGTGAAGGTGCTCATAGACCTCTGGACTCCAGGGAACCAGACATGGTGACAGTACCAAAGACCTCCAAGCCAGGAGCTGCAAGCTCTCCTGGCCCAAGGAGGGGCCAAGCTGGTCAGGAAGTTGGTGAGGTGAGGACACCCTTCATGCAGGGCCCCTGGTGTCGCTGGAGGGACTGTTTGTGGGGATGAGTGCCCACAGTGGGAGGTGACAGGAGCTCAGGTGGCGTGATGGGTGCTGCTGACACTAGGCTGGGCTGAGGCGATGTCAGCTGGGCAGGGCCTTGAGGTAAAGGGATAGCGAGAAGGCCAGAAGGAGGGAGGAGAAAGGCTGATTCCCTCGCTCTGCAGTCTGTGCATGGAGCAGTCTCAGGACCTTCTGTGTGACCCAGCTTGGAGCGGAAATGAAGGCCTTCAGGCAAGGGGCACAGACCATGCCCTCACATCAGGTGTATTTTGTAGGGGGAGCTGAGGGGGCAGCTCAGGGACACAGACTGGCAAGTCTGGGTGATGGGACAAGGGACTGAGGACTGAATGGAGGAACCGCAGATGTGATGGGTTATTTGATGAGGGCCTCTAACGACTGTCCAGTGATTAGCACCGTCTAATGGAGTATGCCTCTGTGTCCCGAGTGTGGGGACCAAACCTGGTTACAGTCTGGATGGTAGGAAATAGAAATCATTGTGGACTTGGTGCTGGGTGCTCTAGAATTATGGTTCTTAGCCTTTTGGGGGTGGCTTGGAGCCCTTCTGAGACCCCGCTAAGCCCTACAGTAGACCCTTCTCCCAGACACGGAAACACAAAACCATGGGAATACAAAACGAGTCTTGAGCCAGGTGGGGCATCAGGAGAGTTTCCCACAGAGAATTCTGGATGGCTGTCCTGGGTGGCTTAGGTTTCTGCTCGTGGCTTTACATTGGCTCTCCCCAGTCCCTTGGTAAAGTCTTGGGGGCATTTTGTGTCTTTCACAGTGGGACTCTGTGCCGTGAAGGCCGATTGGCTGTCTTGGACCAGAGCAGTGGAAGCTGGCCTTTCCTGCCCAGCTAGCCAGGGACTCTGTCACTATCCTGCCCAGGATCTTCTCTGTCTGGTGGGGACTTTGGATACTCAGGGCTTACTTAAAAAAAACAAAGGTATTTCCTTAAGGTCACTGTGAATCTGCTGGGGTTCCCTGGGGGAAAAAAGACCAGAGTAAATAAATGCCAGCAACTGAAAATAGCGGGAGAAAGTTCTAGAAACATCCCAGAGAGGAAGAGGGGGTGGGGTGGGAGTGGTGGATATGGGACCAGGGGACCATGGGCAGGGTTGGCTGGCCAGGGTCTTGGGTCACAGCACACTATTGGAGTGAGAGCTGCCCAGCGGGAGAAGAAGGATGGTATGGCGCCATCTTCTGGCCTTAGGCATCACACTCCACCCCACCCCACCCTGACACCAAAATTGGCTGCCTGGGTGTAGGAGACCCCCGGGGGCACATGGCCCAACAAGGAGGGCTACGGGGCACTCCTACCTGGCCTACTGCCCTTTCCAAATTGATTTTAATGAGGTTCTCTCTGTTCCCCATTTCTTGCAGCTGAAGCAATTTCCTTCTGGAATCTTCCTGAAGCTTCTCTTCAACCTGAAAGGATGATGAAGGTGTGTGCCGTCCGCTGCTAATGCGGTCCCGAGGCAGTCTGGGGAGACCCCTTGAGAATAGCCAGTAGCTGTTGGTGCGGCCAGCCCTTGCGGCGGGGGGGGGCAAAAGGGAGTACGGTGCAGAAGCAGGCTTACAAGGCACCGTACCCTGGGGCCAAGGACCAGGCTTAGCTCCCTTGGGCTCAGCCAGGCTAATCCTACCTCAGGCTTGAATCCAAGGGCAGCTCCGAATAAGTCATGTGACTTCAGAGAGTTATTTTGCTGGGTCTGTGACTCAGTGTTCCGTGGGGTAGGGGAAGGGGGTGTAACCAGGGCTGCCTCGAAGAGTTACTATGGGGTTAGGTGTTTGGAGTAGCCGTGGTATGTCCTAAGGGGTCTCCATGTTGTGTTAGGGTTTGCTGTCTCTTACAAAACTGGAAGATAAGCCGCCATTATTCTGCCATCTCAAGTGACCTGTCCACAACAGGCTTGGTAAATATTGTTATTAGATATGCTCTCCTGGCCACATCACCAGTGGGGACCGCACGAGGCTAGCCAAGCAAGACTTTGAAAGCTGGAACTTGCAGAAGCAGTTTAAAAGGGATGGGGACCAGAGCCTGGCGACTTATTCCCACCTTGTATGCCTGAGTGTGCTCAATGCTGCTCTCTGCTGGCCATTGTGGGGCACGGTGGCATCTCCAAACAACCTTTTTCAAATTTGTAGATGTTAATTAGGTAGAATGGGCTTCTTGATGGCATGTTAACACACTTATTCCTCGCTACCCTCTCTTGACCTCTCCCACATCAGCTCTTCCTCTTCCTGACATATCCCTTCCCCTTTCATGAGGACCTCGACTTTAGCGTGGACTGGAGGGGCGGGGAGTGGGGGGTATGATGGGGGTTGCTCCTCAAAGGTTTCATGCTGACACAGTCACACGAGCCTCTTATTGGGGTCTGGAGGGGGGTGCAAAGATATCATACACCTGTAGGAGCCAGCCATGGTAAGCTAAATATGAACAGACCACCCAAAGGAAGTTCTTTACTTCCAACTATTATCACCTACCAGAGTAGGACACAGCCATAAGTTTAATGGAGGCCCGAGTCTCAGTAGTTTACTCTGAAACAATACCTGGTTTCAGGAAGAACCACAAGCTGAGATTACCTGAGTACCACCCAAGAACAAACCATCCAAAGAAATGCCTAACGTTCCAACCGTTGTAGATAGGATCACCTGCCAGCACACTCACCAGGACACCCCTAGACAAATGTCAGTTAATCAGGAGTCCTGAGCCTCAGAAACCCCTCATCCCCACCACTACAAAAGCCCAACTCTAACTGAGTTTGGGGCTCTCCATTTATTCGAGTATGTTTGACACACGGAGAGAGTGAGTTTGTAAACTTGCATAAAATAAAGGCTCTTTGCTTTTACATACAGGACTTCAGTCTACTTGTTGGTTTTTGGGGGACTTTGTGGATTTGGGCATAACAACACCCAGAACCCTTCAGAACTTTCTTCAGAGCTCCGTGGGACGGCGAAGAGCCTCTTAGACCGAGGTTGCTTGAGCAGACACCTTATAGCTTAGGTCGTCATGGCTTTCCCTGCAGGTCTTCCTCGGTCTAAGAAATCTGGACAGCCGTGCTTGGCCTTGGATCTGTTCTGGAGCCCTCAACCCAGCGGTCTCCTTCCTACTCCCCAGCTCAAAACCCCAGAGCGGCCTCAGCCACAGTGCAATTCTGCCCTGGCCCGCGAGTGTCCTGCCTGCCCTGTCCCTCCACACTGGCACAGAGAAGGTATTTAGAGGGGCATTTAGTCCACAGAGACTTATCAGGTCCCTACCCTGACCACAGACATAGGCTGGGCACTGGGGACTTTTGGCCCGAGATTTATGTTCCTTCTAGTGCATTCTTCAGGGTACTGCTGACAGTCACCCAGATGTGTCTGAAGCAGCTTCCTTCCATGAGGCCTGGATGACCCAGGTTGTCTGATGCCGTGGCCACTGGCCATGTCTGGATATATGTGACATGTGATTAGGAACAATGAATACATCCTTGCTCAGTGGAGGACGTGGACTTTCAATTGAATTTAAAAATAACATTTTATTTTTAAGTAAGAGTATGGAGAGGTTGGATTTTAAAACGAATTTGATTTCAGTTTCAATCGTCACACATGGCTAGTGGCTGTGCCATATGGATGAGTCACCTAGATGGGGCTGCTGGCTTGGTTTTTTTTGTCCCTTACTGAGTGCACGATTTCACATGAGCAATTCTGCTCCGAGATGCCTCCTCAGCCCTCACTCCCTCATCCGGCACATGGACAGGACGGTTTCCAGACCTGAGAGTGGGCTGAGTGAAAAGGCAGGATGCCTGTTGCAACACCAGAGGCAACATTGTCACCATGGTCGTGACTAGTCACAAACCCAGCATGGCCAATGCCTGGGTCAGACCCTCCAGGTGCTCCTCTCTGCGTTCAGTATACAGCCCCAACACCGAACTTAATCACAAAACAAAACAAATAAAGCCACCAAGTCTAAGATGCAAGAAGCCCATAGGAATGGGAACAGAGTAAGGAAGAGGCGTTCACCCAAGAAAAGTTGTTGTACGCTAGCTGTGAGCCAAAGGGAAAGGGAATCTCAAAAAACAGCAAGGGAAGACTGGTTACATAATAACCATCCCACAGTAATAGTAATTATGTGATAGTTAGACTTACAGTCAGGAGACAATAGACTATAGACAGAAAATCACTGTCAACTGAGAAGTCAGCGCACAGTCAAAATATGTTCCCAGAATGAGGGATAATACATATGCATTCGCACATCGAACACACACACACCAAAGCACACACAGAACACATGCACGCGCGCGCGAGCGCGCACACACACACACACACACACACACACACACACACGTACCACACGCATGCACTCCTGAGAGACTCTGTCATCAATCGAGCCCAAATCCTTGAGGATATATTGTTTTAAGCAGAAGAGAAAGGGCCCTGGATGGTTACCCAGGGATGCAGGTGGGTGTGAACACAGAGTGTGCAAAAGCACTTGGGATGTCAGTGTATGGAGGGATGTCCAGGTACCAGTGGTGCTAAAGAGGTGACGTTGGTAGCCTTTGTGGCATCCAGGAGTGGGGCGAAACCACCCACGGACACTGGATTTTGAGAAGCTGAAAGTACATGTTTAGAATAACTGAGGAAAGATACCCAAAGAGTTAAAACTCAGGCAACATTGGACTGTGGAAAGACACAGTAACTTCTGTGCTGTTCTTACCTGAAGGGGAGCCAAGTGAGAAAACACCAAGTGAATACAGGGGAAAACAAACCAGGGAAAACGGTCAATCGAGAGGTGAGCATGATGGTGCTCGCCTTTAACCCCAGCCCTGGGGAGGCAGAGGCAGGCAGATCTCTGTGAGTTCAAGGCCAGCCTGGTCTACAGTTCCAGGACAGGTTTTAAAGGCTACACAGAGAAACCAAACCAAAACAAAACAAACAAAAAAGAGAGCCTCAGGCAATACCAGAGGCTAAAGCCACCCTGAGAAAGACCTCTGTACACAATGTGATCAGCCTAGAAGCCAATAACCAATAGACAGCCAAGAAATCCTCATATATTTAGATATTAGAAAATAACCCCAAATATCCCATATGCCATTGGAAAAGACTGGGTTCTGAGTAACAATGGAAAACATCCTAGAACTGTGGGGTGCAGCGAAAGCCTCATTTAGAGGAAAACGTATGGTCCAGAAAGCAGCTTGGCTCTGCTACTGTGATGACAATGACTTTGATGAAGAGCAAAGCCAAAGTCAACCAATTTTCACTGAAAAGGTCTTCTGCATAGTGAAGTTCATTGAGCCAGTGACTCGGCATGTTTCTAAATGTTTCTGTTTTCATTGTCTTGGAATTGTTTTTATCTGGACGCGTTTTTGGGGACAAATTTTACAGATAGTTTTTCTGGTCACTGTCGTTTAAAAGTTATTAATTTTATCTTTACGTGTGTGTGCGCGCACGTGTGCACGCACGCGCATGTGCACACGTGCATATGAGTGCAAGTACCTGAAGGACCTGGTGACCTGGGTCTCAGCAGACACATCAGGCAGCTCACCACCACCTGTAACTCCAACCCAGGGGACCTGACACTTCTTCTGGCTTCCAAGGGACTCATATGCACGCAAGTGTGTGTGTGTGTGTGTGTGTGTGTGTTTGTGTGTGTGTATGCCAGAGGTGTCCTTTTTTCCTTTCCAAATACAGTTTCTTTTTATTGTGTGAATTTCTCTCCAACCCCCACTTTCCTTTATCCTTTTTCTTATTTTATGTATGTGAGTGTTTTCCTGTGCACGCCTAGTGCCTGCAGAATTCACAAGAGGTGTTGGATCCCTTGGAACTGGAGTTACAGATGGCTGTGAGCGCCACGTGGGTGCTGGGAACTGCAGCCGGATCCTCTGCCAGGGCAGCCGGTGCCCTCAGTCACTGAACCATCTTCCCAGGCTCTGTTCTTTTCCCTCCCGACTTTATCTGCTCTTTTGAAAAACCCTCTGAGTCTGGTTAACTCTGCAAATATATGCATGGCTGCGGGGCCATGAACCCTGGGCCTGCATCCTTGAAGAAAGCTGGCTCTAATCCCCCAGCCTTCAATTGCCAATAGCTCCTCGGCTAGCGGTGGGACCCTGCGATTTGGGCTGATTCTGGGTGTCTTTATCATTCTCCCCTTTTCTTGTTTTGACAGTGTCATTCATTGAACCTGGATTCTTCCAGATTGGTTAGAGGGCCCCTGGGGTCTGCTCGCCTCCATCCGCCCCAGTGCTGGAATTATTACAGCTATGCGCTACCCTTTATGGCTTTTACATGGGTCCTGGGGATCTAAACTCAGATTTCCATGCTTGCATAACAGCCAGTTTCCCCACCGAGCCATCTCCCCAGCCCTGAATTTTATTTTACTTTACTTTCAGTTAATTTAAAAACTAGATAGTCCTGTGTGGCTGTCGCCCACTGAAACGGATGCCACATTTCCCGGGACAGGAAAGCAACTTGAGACCTACTAGGATCTGCAGGTGGGGGGTGAGCCTCACTGAGATAAACCGGGAACCATTTTATCCTGCGGGACTCCCTGTTACCCGCTCCCATCCGCGAGCAGCCGCAGATACCAGCATCGGCCACACGGGGACGCTGTGCGGGTGGAGCGGGACGGGGGACGCAAACTTCCCTGAACCACGCACCTTGCTCCTTTCTCGCATGATCTTGGAGATGGTGTTCTGATTGGAACAGTTCTTCTTCAGCTCCTCTCTGAGCTTCTTCACTTCTTTCTCCATGTCTTCCATTTGCTGAAAATAAAATTCAACCGCAGAGAAGTCAAGTTTCCCTAGGCGTGGCAAGAGTTACCTCCTAAATGGAAGGCTCCTCTTCCTCGGGACTCCCTTATTCCTGGAGCTCGTTAAGGAAGGATCCTTGCCCCGTTCCAGGTAAATTCCTTCACAGCTCTATATCTGCAGGCAAAGCAGACTGTTTCCTCTCCAGTTAGTATATTCAGAGTACTTAATGAAGGAAGAGTTTCTTTGGGGGGAAAATCAGCAGAAGGGTTTGGAAGAACGGCTCAGTGACTGAGTATTTGCTGTGCAAGCCTGGGGTCTGGGGTTCGGATCCCTAGCAGGCAAATAAAAAGTTGATGGGTGCGGTAGCCGGCCTGTAATCCAGCAGCAGAAGGTAGGGACAGAGTCTCTCAATCAAATCCAGAGCAAACTGGCTAGGGATAAGCGTCATATGGGGAGCTCTGGGTTTGATGGAGAGTCCTGCCTCAGTGGTGGAAGAACGATGGAGGATTACATCAACCCGGGTTTCCATACGCTCGCGTGTGCATACACACGTGTACACCTCTCCCCACATGTGTGTCTACACACATGCGTGCCACAGGCATGTGGAAAATGGGGAAAAACAATAAATAACCAGCACAAATCCTGGATTTAGTACGTAAGATACCCATTAACTCATTAGAATCATCACTACTTTGTATTTTTAAATCGACTAAGATAAGGCTTATTTGAAGGATAGAATAGTATAGATTGTATTATTATTATTATTATTATTACTATATTTGAGGCAAAGGGAAAGTTGTCCTCAGGACCTGAAAGAGCGCACACATCTCCTCCTGGAGAATGGAAGCTATTTGGCCAGCCAGTGAGATAAAAGATATAAGCATATTTTCATTGCAATTTTTTAGAGGTTTATTTTTAAGAGAGAGAGAGAGAGAGAGAGTGTGTGTGTGTGTGTGTGTGTGTGTGTGTGTGTGTAGGTGTACATGAGTGTGGGTGCCCTTTGAAGCCAGGAGAGGGCAACATATACCCTGGGACTGGAGTCACAGGTGGCTGTCAGTCCCACAGTAAGGGTGCTGGAAAGCGAACTCAGGTCCTCCGCAAGAGCGTTCTTCCTTGTAGAGCCGCCTCCCAGCCCTTCCACAGTTACATTCTGCTGGTTGCCTTCTCTCTAAGGCAAATGATAGCCTTTCTCTTTCTTTCATTCTCCCTGAGTGTCATAAAGTCTCTGCCGTTAAAACCACAGAAGACACTCCTGTTTGCAACACTGCCTGCCCGTGGCTGCGACCGCATTTAAGATGGCGCAACTTGGACTTAGGTAAACATAGGTCCAGGGCCGGGAACCTGAATAGACTTCTAGGACAGCAGCAGGTGTGGCCTCCTGTCCCCATCCTTGTCCCTGCTCTGAGAAAGACAGAGTCAACTGGCCAGGGAAGCCTGGAGAGAGCTCTATGACTTCCTCCAAACAGCACACAGCCAGAACCTTATACTCTGGGGAGGGCCGGGGGTCCCGTCAAAAACGCCAAGGTCAGTCTCTCAGAGGTGTGCTCACCGACGAGGACAGTCAACTCACGCTTCGGCAGAATTTCAGCTCTTTCTCCTGAGCCTCCCTGCTCTCCCTCTGGGCCTCTTCCTTCCTTAGCTCTTCTTTCAGCGCGGAACACTGAGGAGAGGACAGCAAAGGAAGAGGCCAAGGCTGGAGACATGGAGGTGTCTGGGGGAGGGGCGTTCCCAGGGCCCCAGCCGGCCCAAGAGCGCTCTGTGCTGCTCCACTCCAACCGCACACCCACGTTGAGCCGGGGGACAGCTGGTATTTGACAGGAACACAGATGCGGCAGGGGCTCCGGGTTCCTGCCTCTCTGAAGGTCTGAGATCTCAATTCCCTTTTCAGAAGCTGGCAATCCGCATCACGAGAAAAGCCCATCTTTGAAGAGCTGGGTAAGGGGACCGGGGTGGCGCTAAGGGCTGCACCTGGGTGTTTCTCAGGTTGTGACCACCCGGCAGTGGAAGGAAATGCAGCCCTCTCATTGGAGGGGACGGGGCAGCAGGCAGTTGGAGCGTAAAAAGTGCCCTTTATCCCACCCAGTGATTCCACATAAGAGTCTGTTCAGTTTTAACTGTCAGCTTGACCCTTCCTAGAGTTGCCTGGGAATAGGGTGAGGAATTATCTGCCTGGGTTGGCCTGTGTGTCTGCCTATGGGGTGCTGGTGGTTGTTGTGATTCTTAACGGATGTGGGAAGACCCAGCCCATTGTGGGTGGCACCACTCCCGAGGCAAGGGGTCCTGAACAGCGTGAGAGAGGAGGAAACAACCAACAACAAGCAAGCAGGGCCTGTGGGATCGTTCTCTCTCTGCCCTTGACTAAGGACCTGAGGCTTCGAGTCTTTCAAGTCCCTGCTTTGACTTCCCCTCAGTGTGAACTACAGCCTGGAATTGTAAGACAAATAAATCTGATGAATCCTTTCTTTCCTGAGTTGCTTTTTTTTTTCTTTTTCTTTGTGGGGGGAGTCAAGATATTTTACCTCAGCAACAGAAATGAAACTAGGGCAGAGTGCACTCTAAAGCCCATGGCTGGATCCCATCAGGGAACCTGAAGGCTTAAGGACCTTCCAAACCATGTTCTGCATGTGGTGGTTTGAGTGTGAAATGCCCTCCGTTGGCTCGTGTGTTTGAACACATGGTTCCCAGCTGGTGGCACTGTTTTGAAAGGTTGTAGAACCTTTGGGAAGTGGAACCTTTTGGGTGGAAGTGTGCCAACTGGGGTGGGCTTTGAGATTGGACAGCCCAGTCTCACTTCCTGTCTGTTCTCTGTTTCCTGAGGATAACGTGACAGTCACCCCAACTAAGGTCCTCACGCTTGCATAACAGGTACTTTGACTCCCCCCTCCCCCAATATCTTTTGGGAACAGTCTCATGTAGCCCAGGCTGGCATTGAACTCTTGATCTCCCTACTTTAGCCTCCCAAGTGCTAGGATTATAGGCTTATATCCCATATGAATCATGAACATGCTTACAAGTTAGATGCTACGTGATGGTAATTCTGAGCCTCATGCTCACTGTTCTTTGGAAAGCTGCAGGGAGGGGGCTGGAGAGGTAGCTCAGTGGTTAAGAGCACTGGCTGTTCTTTCAGAGGACCCAGGTTCAATTCCTAGCACCCACATGGCAGCTCATAAACACTTAACTCCAGCTCCAGGGGGATCTTGCGCCCTCTTCTGGTCACTACAGGTGCTGCACTCACCTACCCGCGCAGACAAGCGTAATTAAAAAGAATTCTTAGAAAGAAAAGAAAAGCCATAGGGAATCTCTATGTTGGTCTGTCGAGGAGAACATTTTAGGATTTAGTTTCCGGGCATGTCCTCCTTATGTGCTTGGACCCCATGCTGCGGGAGGAAGCTGTGTTGTCCAAAGTCAAGGCTAAGAGAAGTGAAGAGGGGCGTGCCACATGACTAGTGTGGGTTTCTCACACAGCACTCAGAGCCGTGACCTGGACGCTCACCCTGGAGCTCAGGGCCTCCAGCTGGTGACCCTTCTCCTTGTTCTGATTCTTCAGTTGGTTTATTTCCTCCTTCAGCTGCTGGACTTGCTCATTCCGCGCTGACACATCTTTCTGTAACGACGTCACCATCCCTGTTTTGAACAAAGCAAGGGCAGAGTCCAAAGACACAGCGAGGATTACTGTCATGGCTGCCACCGAGGACCCCAGGAGCTGGAATGGGGCTGAGACCATGTTGTGTGGCTGTTTCTTCCACAAAGAATCTCTTCCCAGGGGAGGAAAGATGCTTCTCCAGCCGGTTGCCTGGCTCAGCATTGATGTCTGACTTTCCCTTACTCTCTTTTTTGTTTGTTTTTTGAGATAGGGTCTCTCACCAAGCCCGGAGCCTATCAATTATATGAATCCCAGGGATCCTGCTGTCTCTGCCTCCCCTGTGCTGGGATTACCAGTGTGCACCACCGTGCCTACTTTTAACACAAGTTCTGGGAATCGAACTTGGGTACCTTTGCAAATACCTTACTGACTGAGCTGCTTCCCTGGACCTTTGTTCCGGAATTCTTGACACTCTTCCCTTTCTCTCTCCTACTGCCTCTATCCTCTCTGGTATTGAGAACACACTGCACTCTGCTTCAAATACCCCAATGGCTTCCCAGCACATTTAGAAGGGATTCCCCATGGGATTTGGCTCTGCCTTCTTCTCTGACACCCTCTCTCTCTCAATTTTCCTTTCCTTGAGACTCACCTGTTGCTCCTTCAGCA